CATATTATTGAAATAATTATAAATAGTCTCCAGAAAAAACTCACATTGACACTAGCAAAAAAATTATTCACATTGGCATGCAATGACAACTCACATATATAATAAAACCGCATATATGACTGATCATGTATGTTTTTTAATTAAAAGCTTTGAATCTTGAAAACCAAATAATTTATAAAGAAAAGGAATAGCTACAATAAAGTAATATCTTTTAAAAAAAGGGAGATTAGTTTCACGTTATTTTCTTTTTTTTTTTCTGTTTCTCTAACAAAATTTGAACTGTTTTTTCTATAATTTTAATTTCAAGACATTTATCTTCGCTCTTCCTTTTCATATGGTTTCCTTTGATAACTCCAAATCTTTTTTTCCTTCTGTCTCTTATATGATAAAAATAAACTCAATATCTAAACTGTTGTAAAAAACTAGTAAATTTTTTTTCTTCTTTTAATCATCAATGATTTTGGTTAAAATTTTTAACTGATGGCTGCTTTGATTTTTCTTAGCATTCTTTCTCTTTTGATCAAGGTCTAGCTAATATTTTAGGCACGCGCCTTTCGCAAACCTTATAAACTTGTTTGTTAGTTTTATTGTTGAAGGTATCAGGTTGTTCTTTTACACATGGTCTACTCGTCATCTTTCTTTATATTATTGGTTATACATTGATTACAATCTTAATAACATAAAGTCTTCTTTACCATTGTTTTACTATGACTTGTTACTAAAACCAATATAAGAGCAAAATAGATTTTAACTTTTTGGTATATATATAGTGGGTTTATGAAAAAAAAAATTAAATAGTCTAGCGCTCTCGCAACTTGAAGACTCTACTATTTCGAGATTTCAACAAAACTGAATATTATGGCAAAACTTTCTCTGCTAAAGTTACATTAAAAATCTTCAATGTGTCAAGAGTTGTTTCATCTTGCTTCGTAATTTGACCAGTTGCATACAGAATTTATATCTATCGATTGCATTGGTCATATACAGGAACTTGAATAAAAACACATTTGCAATTCATACCATGCAAAGATGTAATGAACTTTTTCGAGTGATTTTCTCCAATAAAATAATTACCATATTTGCAGCGCCCTTCTTTAACTTTTTTTACATCTGCAGATTTCATTTTATCTTGACGTAATAAATTCTGAAGTGTTTCTTAAGTTGAAAATCTAAATGAATATCTTTTATCTTTAGATATATACTTTTATCAGTAATATCAAGCTCTAAAAAGTTAAGAACAGAATAACATTTAAGAAAAATATCAGTTTAAACAACCAACTGAATTAGGGATCTATGCAACATATCTAGGTCCTTGCCAAGAAAAGACAACATAGGATCATCTGTTCTTTGATGACAGTTGCACTTGTTTAGATAAATCCAAACCAGATACACTATTTGAATAACTTTGTTCAAACTTTTAACACAACAAACAGCCAGCCTGATGGCAACAGTCTGATGCACAGACTTGTATTTTTAAAAAGTCCCTGTAGTAAGGTGCAATTCCATAACTAACATTGAATTTGTTTTTGCCAAATTAAAATATTTGGTACAAAAAAAGAATTAAAAAAGCGAAAGCTTTAAAAAATTGAAATAAATGTTAAAAATAAGATTTCTTATTTTAAATAATTGTAAATATTTAGCATTAATATTTACAATTATTTAAAATAATAATTTAAAAAAGAACTTTTTTATAATTTTCAACGAACATTAGGTAGTAGATTATTATAACTTATATATAAAAAGACCCTGACACTTAATAAAATAATTTGTATATAAAATGATTAAACTTAATCAACATTTGACATTTCAAGATTTCATTGACAAATCCTAAAAAACATTTACAATTTATTACAATTCTAAGTTGAAAAAAAAAAAAAAAAAAAAAAAGAAATTTAGAACTAGAAATGTTTTATTATTCTCTGAGTCACTAAGAAAAAAAGCAACTGTTTTCTCTGACCACTAAGTAAATTCCCTGATTTTTACTAAACCAGTTTAAAAAGACACTTTTGCTTTGACTTCCCCTGAAGGTATAAATCATGATTGTTATTTTATGTTTACCAAGGTTAAAACAGAACACAAATTTAGCTCAGCCAGTGTAATCACTAGTTAAAAATAAGGGCAAAAATAAGGATTTCAACTTAATTTAAAGAATAATTTTAATTTGTCATGAAATTTAATAACAAAAAGCAAAAAATTTCATATAAAAAATATAAAAAACATTCTATACAGATTCTTTTTTAAATAAATAACATAACACCAAAATGATATTAGATATATAGCATATGCCTTATATCATTTTGGACATATTTTTCATTGGGAACACTCTTTTCTATAAAAATGTTTACTTCACATGCAGTAAATTAAAAAGCTAGTATTGTAAAAAACATTTTTAAAAAAATTATTTAACATTGCAAACCTTCAACATTTTTTCCATTTCTAAATTGAAAGTTACAACATAATGCACTCTGTGAAACATTTTGCTCTATTATTCTTGCATTTGCATATGTGGCTAATATGTACTTATTTTCTGTCGCAGCAGCCGGATTTAAAGCTTCAGCAGTGTTTGGTTGTGCATCAATTTGCTGTGCATCTATTTTAAAACAAACAAACAAAGCTATATTTACCAGGTTATCAAGTATATTATCTAGTATACAACATACAAAACGGTTTTTTTGAATGAATTTTCATAATATTAATTTATAAATTTCATTCAAAAAACTAAAGTATACTTTCAAAACTTGGTACATATTTGATTAAAATAGATAGTTGCATACATATTTCATAAATAAATTTATTTCAAGAGTAATTTTCTAAATTTACATTTTAAACTTGGTAAACGTTTATAATTATTATAATAATACACTTTTAATTTAAAAAAAAAAAAAAAAAGATTGAAAAGAAATAAGTATATTCTTATATCGGCATCATATATTTTACAAAAAAAAAGGTAAAGAAAAACTTCATACCTAATAAATGCTCAAAATTTAGAGAAGAATTATCTTCACTCATTTTAATCTAAAGAGTATTACAAAATTTTGTAGAGCGAAGCTGTTCCAGAATTCAAAATGAGATATTCGTTCGTATAATTCAGAATAAGGTACACTTAAAGCGCATGCGTATCAACCGTCAAAAGTATTCTAGGTCTTCGATTTTTGTAAAATTCAAAATCTTATTTTGAATTATACGAAAGACCGTTAGCCGCACCAAAAGTAGGTTTTTGTTGTTTTCGAATTGTTTTCCGTTTGCGCGTAGGTATAAATAATTTTCCAGGTCCGCACTTTAAACAATTTTCACAACCTACTTTTGGTGCATGCTAAAAATTGCTAACCATTCAAAATAGCGTGTAACTTTTTCTTGTAAACGAAGTGGACATTACAAAAACTACTTAAATACATGGCCTACTATAATTACACGGCCGGATATCTTGCTTTTCGCAGCGGAAAATTAGAAGGGTAACTTTTAGACTTTCTTAAGCGTCTTTTAAAATTGTTTATTTAAACGCAGTGGCTACGGGTACGTCTAGACGTATTCCTAACAAAATAAGTTAAAGATACGTCCAAACTTTCGGACGCGGTAGGAAGGTTTAGACTTAAAAAAATAAGTTAAAGATACGTCCAAACTACGGACGCGGTAGGAAGATTTAGACGTATTCCTCAAAAAATAAGTTAAAGATACGTCCAAACTTCGGACGCGGTAGGAAGGTTTAGACGTATTCCTTACTTTAGATATGTCTTTATATCAACAATTTTTATTATAAAGTATTATTACTATCAAAAATTATTATAAGTAAATGAGTATAAATGGTATAAATTATATATATATAAATTTTATATAATTCGGGTCTGGTTTTCACAAAAAACACGAAACCTGGATTTTCCAACTGGAAAAAAGTTTTGACTAAAAAAGTTTCGGACTAAAAAAGTATTCGGATAGTAATAACAATAATAATAATGATAATAATAAAAAACCTTAAGCCAATTTAACAAGAATTAAGAAAAACATTTGACAATGGATGGATAAATACTGTACCCATGCTACCTTTAATAAATAGACATTAATAAAAATATTAAATCAATATTTCAAATTATATATATATAACAAACAATAGATTTATCAGGAGTTGAAATAATACTTTACTTTGTCATGCAAAACATAAGTATTAGTTTAAAATAGTTGTATTAATGTCCAATTGTCTGTAAAAGTTGAATAAATATTTTATATTTACTTATAAAAAAACTAAGTATGGTCAGCACATGTAAACTATACCGCAGATATATTTTATCACTTTTTATAAAATAGATCGACTGCTAAGTTTTGCTACTATTAAGAGTAAAGCTTGTTTAAAAAAATACAGTTTGGCGTAGCAATAAAAGATTCAACGAACCCAGCTCCCTGAAGTTTATCATAATAATTTTTAAGCATGCTTCAACTTAGCAAGACCTCAACACGACTTTAGCACGTTCCTGAAGTCTGAAGTTCTTCATTTAACATCCTCTGCTTATTATATTCAAAATTTGCCCTTAAGGCATCTTCCCAATACCTGAACCCGGCCGCCAACAATCTTGCTAAGTCACTGATCATTGCTTCAAAGGCCGATATATTTTGAATAAAAATTATAAATAATAAAACCTTGTTGAGATACAATAACTACATTGAATAAGTATTAATTCTTTCATAGATATTTCATAAATAGTAATGATAAATATACATAAATAAGTTTTAAAAACTTTTTCCAATATTACAGTGAACATTAATAAAAAAAGAATCTTGAGCAATGAAGTTTATTGTTAAATTTGTTAAATAGCCTACTTTAACTACCGATAAATTTTAAGTTTCTACATTTAACAGACAAGTACCACAGTACCAATTTTTAGTTATCTTGGATGTCACCTTGACACAATTAAAGTGGTACCACTCAAGACAACTGCTACACTCAATTGATTCTGTGGGAGCATTGAGTAGACAAATCGGGCAATTCCACATTTTCATTTTTTTGCGTCTCAAAAAAGAAGCTCTTCAAATCTTCCATGCTTGTGTTGAAATGGCTTAAGAATTTCTAAAACTACTATTTCATTCATTAGAGCTGATGGAAGATCTTTAGCTTCTAAATTCAGGTCTGCAATATCAGCAGGTGTAACAACCGTAACATCTTTAGGTCTTCCACCTTTCAGCAGACGCCGCAGCAAAACTAAAAATAAAGAAAGAATTAGGATTTAAACTCATCATCTCTTGTAAAAAAAACCTATAACGTTTGTTCGAGTATTTTTAAACGGTGATCTCATTTTACGAGGTGGCTAGTGAAGTATAAAGTTCCAATTCAATTATAGGTATTTCTTAAATTAGTTTTGAAACACATATAGGTCAAACTTTGCGAAACTATTGACTTCCTGTACCGTGACTTACCCTAACCTGTGACTTCTCTTGGAGGTTAACTTGCAAAATTGTAAAAAAATTAAAGTGTCTTAAATTATTCATCAAATTGAGTTATTAAACCAAAGCCTATTTTAAATTTCTGATTGTTGATATGTAAATAATAATGTATACTTACAATGAACTTTTTCTTTAACGGTCTTCTGTTTATAAGGCAAACAGATCTTCGAAACTTTACGCAGTTTAACAGCATTTTTTTTCCCTTTTGACTTAGGACGCCCTCGTGATATAAACTTTGATGGAAAATGACTTTGGGATAAATCAAGTTGGGACTCAGGTATTTTAGAAGTTTCACATAATAGATTTTTTGATTTACTTAAACAATCCATCTGATTGAGACTTATGATTTCTTTAATCTGTTTTTCAGTTTCCTTTCTGACTTCTAAAAATTAATGATCATCAACAATTGATTCTATTGTAAGTTTTTATTTTATATAACAACCCTCAAAAAGAAAATACAATATTGCCGGTTGTGCCAGTTAACAAGAGGTACGTCTGATGGTTTGTTATTGGCCTTAAGTGAGTCACTGGCAAAAATACAACATTGGCCAGTAGCAAGTATGTATGTGTAGCAAGCATGTATAGCTTTCAGTGTAATGTTTCGTTCAAGGTTGAATTAATGTGAATGTTAATTAATTGATTCAATGTGAGAGATTGCTTAAACGCCTGGTAAAAAAAAAACCAACTTATATTGCCTGAAAAAGATTTCTAGAATCTAATTGGATGGTAGTGGAATGAACGGTAAAATTGTAAAAGAAAAATCTTTATTACATATGGAAAAAATATGGCAATGCCTTGGCTAATATGTGTGGCAAAACAAGCGATATAAAAAGCTCAGTCACATAGGCAGAACTTAATAGATGAGATAGTTGATGTAGAGAACAAAATAAACGAAGTATTCAGAATTGTAAAGCAAAACGTTAGGAAAAGTATAGACATTGTTGGAGAAAGCTATATTAAAAGACTAAATAGCAAAATAATGGTAAAGAAAGTTGCGGTGGAAACAAATTGGATGAATCATTTGCTGAATGAATCAATCACCTAATACACTAGGAGCACCTGCTGGTGCTCCTAGTGTATTAGCTGAAATGCTGAGTTTCATGTAATGTGGGCGTGGAGTGGGTGTCACATGTCAGATGAATTAAATTTAGGTTAAATCTCAAATGATATTAAAAAAAATTAAATATTAAAAATTTATAAAAGGTGGAGAAGTACTAGTATTTAAAATGCATTTATCAATAAACCACAATTTGGTTTAAGACCATGAAATGGAACAACAGATGCATTATTTATTTTAAGCGGTAGTGGTGTAGTGGTAGAGCGCTCGCCTCATATGCGAGAAGTTCCAAGTTCAAACCCCACCACACCCCTGGTAGTACCGCACTCAACTTGTTTCTTCGGGCAGCAGCCTTGTTCATCAAAAAAAAAAAAGTCCAGTTGAATAGAGATTTTTTGGAAAAGTATAAAGATCAATGAATGTAGAATGTAAAAATAATCCACGTAATAGTAAAAAGATCAATAGATGTACCCCACATGTGCTCAGACTGAATGAGGCGAACGAGTAATGATTGTATTATGTATTGATTTTGTCTTATTTCTGTTTTGTTTTTATTAAATCAGATTTTATTTATTTACAATGTTGGAAAATTACATATACATATTACATGTTACATACACAAAATTACAATAAATAAATATTGTCAAACCTATAATCCCTTCACAAGAAACTGTAAAAATTTGTACTGTATTGCTTTCAACTTCACCACTGCAACCTGGTCTTTCAAACTATAATTGGAAATAAAAAAATTTAACTTCATAAAATAAATAATTTTAAAAAGGAAAATAAACAAAGGTATACTATAGAGTTTTGTACTGTATTGCTTTCAACTTCACCACTGCAACCTGGTCTTTCAAACTATAATTGGAAATAAAAAAATTTAACTTCATAAAATAAATAATTTCAAAAAGGAAAATAAACAAAGGTATACTATAGAGTTTTGTACTGTATTGCTTTCAACTTCACCACTGCAACCTGGTCTTTCAAACTATAATTGGAAATAAAAAAATTTAACTTCATAAAATAAATAATTTCAAAAAGGAAAATAAACAAAGGTATACTATAGAGTTTTGTACTGTATTGCTTTCAACTTCACCACTGCAACCTGGTCTTTCAAACTATAATTGGAAATAAAACAACTTACCTGCATAAAACAAATAATTTCAAAAAGGAAAATAAACAAAGATATACTATAGAGTTTTGTACTGTATTGCTTTCAACTTCATCACTGCAACCTGGTCTTTCAAACTATAATTGGAAATAAAACAACTTACCTTCATAAAATAAATAATTGTAATCGGGAAAATGAACAAAGGTATACTATAGAATTTTGAACTGTATTTCTTTCAATTTCACCACTGCAACCTGGTCTTTCAAACTATAATTGGAAAAAAAACAATTTAACTTCATAAAATAAATAATTTTATTAAATAAGTCAAACAAATCACAGCTTACTTTAGAGTTTGGATCAAAATTGCTTTTGTCATTTTTTTCAACATTAACAACTTCAACAACTTCCTCACTTGAATCTGTCATTTCAAACTATAGTTGGAAGACAAACAATTATGAATACTGAAATACTTATAAACAATTTATAGCAGCCAAATTGGCAATTTAAATGTCAATAAATTATAAAAATTAAAATCTTACTTTTCTTTCACGCAGTTCAGACCGAAATATATTATTTTCGATTTCCAACTTGGAACATCCGTTTTGTATATTAAAATCAACAAAATGGTGTTAAATTGAAGTTACCATAGCTTCATTATTAGAACCCCAAATACTTGATAAATTTTGTAAGACCCTCATTCTACATTCAAACTGTGATGATCCACCTTCTGCTGCTTAATCAGATAGATGCTGTACAAGTCGATTAGCACGACGGTACTTTTCTATGTGGGTCAAGGGTTTATCCTTTAGCTTAGCAAATTTTATATGGCTATCATGTTGCTCCTTTGTTAGAAAAACGCGATGATTTTTCTGCACTGTTTCCTTAAACCATCTAGGAGCAATGCAATTTTCAGAGAACATTTGTAATTTTTTTGCTCTTCTAGCTGCAAACATGTGTTTGCATGGCAAACCCATCGACTTTGTAAATAAACAATTAATTATTTTCTTCAATCTTATACAAATTTTGTTTTTATCATACTTTTATATATATATATATATATATATATATATATATATATATATATATATATATATATATATATATATATATATATATATATATATATATATATATATATATATATATATATATATATATATATATATATATATATATATATATATATATATTTTATTCTGATTGAAAGAATATAGAAGATTTATATCTTGGGTAATTTTTACGTTCACGTTATTCTATTGTGTACTTTGTATTTATTTTTATCATGTCTCAAAGTTATTTAAGTATACTGTTTCATTGAAGCAGTATACTCCCATATTATTGAATTTGATATTATTTCTTGAGTAGAGGTAAAAATAGTCAAAACCTGAAACAAAAGAAAATAATTACTCAATACTTAATAAATTATTACACAAGCTCTCAATAACATAATGATTAAGAGTACAAAATTATTTTGTAATGCCACAAAAAAACAAAGTTACTGTTACCTAAATAATGTTGATTATAATTTTTTTACTAACTGATGACTAATGATCAATAAAGTAAATTTCAATTCATAAAAATTTACTAAATTAAAACCATATTTCAACAGTAGGAATACTAAACTAACGTCATGTCGTAGTGTAGAATGTCAAAGTGGAACTAGAAAAATTTAAAAAAAGAATATAATTAAAAGTTGCTTAAACATGCAAACAAATCATAATAAAAGCTAATAAAAAATGCTTTTATATAAAAAATTGAATCAAAACTTTTTTTAGTTGAAATCATTATAAGTTTAGTTTATTCTAATTATTATATTATTTAACTTGCTTCATAAGCTTATCTTATATTAAGAGAAAAACGTTGTTGAAGATAAAAGATGGAAAAGTGTTTTTAATAATTTATCACTGCTCTGTTCTTTAAGAAGTATTAAGAAGAGTATTAAGAAAATACTTTGAATATCCAATGTAACACAATTATTACACACTACAACACTGACAAAAGACTATAACAATAACACTGCAATAGTTCTGCACTATAACACAGCTTAAATACAAAAAGCATTTATAGAATGTTCTTCTAAACAGTCCATCAAAACATGTACAGAGATTAATTATAATGAACAATTATAATTTTAATAACAAAAAATAATTTATATGTATTATAATAGTATTACATTATATATTATTATTATAATATTATTATATATATAATATTATTATATTTACATATAATTATAGTTTATATATAAATATATTAGTTATATGTATGTAATTAAATACATTTATAACAAAAAAAGAGAATATCTTCCCCAAAAAACTTATTTTTTAACTTAATAATTTTTAAACGTACATTTAAAGCATCACAAAGAAACAGCACTGCTGTCAAAATGAAACCAATATTTGTTTCCTTGTTGCATATAACTTGTTTAAAAAAAAATTATTTATACTAACCATTACATTCTTGAAAGACTGCAAATAGTGATTTTAAATCTGTGGTACCTTTCTGTTTTGCAGCTAAGTTATGAAGATCTTTTAGAGTAACTTTTTTACCTAAAATAAAAAGTAACATTATAAATAAGGCATGGTATCAGAAAAATCTGCCCACCTTTTGCGGTGTGGTAAAGCTAGTTAAAGGTCGTTTTTTGAAATTATTTTTTTTGTGTGTGGTAGTGTTTGTATAATAGAACATTTTGACAGGAAAAAATAATTAAAAATATTATTTAGTTTCAAAATGTCAACCGAGCAAACTAAACAAAGATTTTTGATTGTAGACAAACACTTTAAAAATCCAACTTTATCGAATAGAAAGTTGGCGAAATCATTAAAAATATCAAGAAGAACTGTAGATAAACGATTCTTAAACGGTTTACAGAACAGAAAACTATTCAGAGAAAACAAGGTTGAAAATATATACAATCAATTGCTAAATTAGCTTCTGCTAAGGTTGCTTCTCTTTATCGTGCTCGCCATTTCCTTACTTCTGATTTCATTCTCTACCTCTACAAATCTCTTATTCGTCCCTGTATGGAATACTGTTGTCATATTTGGGCTGGTTCTTCTAGCGATTCACTTTCTCTTCTGGACAAGGTCCAAAAACGCATTGTAAATGTTGTTGGACCTGGACTATCTGCTAAGCTTGAACCTCTTTCCCATCGTCGTAAAGTTGCATCTCTTTCTCTTTTCTACAGATACTATCATGGTCACTGCTCAAAGGAGTTATCATCTCTAGTTCCATCAACTAAAATTCATTCTCGTTTTACTCGTCATTCAGCTAAGTCTCATTCGTTTACTGTATCTGTCCCTGCATGCTCTAAAAACTTTTATTCATCTAGTTTTTTTCCCCGCACTTCAATCCTTTGGAACTCTCTCCCATCTTCATGTTTTCCTGACTCATACAACCTTCAACTTTTCAATTCTTCTGTCAACCGTTTCCTTGCTCTATAACTCTGTTCTTTTTTTTCATGGTAACTCCCAACTTAATAGTGGTTGCTTGCAGCCTTGTTGAGAGTTAATGCAAATTAAAAAAAAAAAAAAAAAAAAAAATTTAATGTAAAAAAAGTCTCATTTAATATACAGTTTTGCTACCTCAGCGATAAAGCAACAATTTTTTGTCGTCAGAATGTAAAACAATTAATTTAATGAGTTTCCACATTAAATTTTAAGGTTTTTTAAAAAACCACATAAATAACGACTAGAATTTTTTTTTAATTAGCAGTGTTTTTTGTTTGTTTGTTTATGTTTTGTTAAAATACAATTTTTAAATATGCGTGGAGTGTTGCTACATTGACTATCTTATAACCTGACTCGTCATGGAGTGCTGCTACATCGACTATCTTATAGCCTGTCTCGTAACGGAGTGGTGTTACATCAACTGACAAATAGCCTGACTTGCTATGGAGTGCTGCTACATTTTTTGTTGATCAAGATTTATGATGTCGTTTGTTAATTTTTCATTAACTTGTTTACTGTTTGAATCATTAATGCATTTCTTTATGAGATCATTTAAAATTGTAGTAACTATTTCTTTTTTCTCAAGTTTCTTAGTTATCAATTCAGGGAAAACATACTCTGTAAAAAATTTCTGAAATTTTTGTTCATTTTTTTTATAGTTAGAATCAGAATAAATTCTTTCACAGTTTTGATCACTTGCTAAACATACATAGAAATCAGCATGAGGATAGCCACTTATAAACAACTGGTGTTGTATTTGGGTGCGATATTGATGACTACTTTTCAGTGAGTATGTGTTAGTACAAGAATTTTTTTCAAAAAAACTTTCAGCACTTTGAGCATATTCACATATTTTTTTCTGCCTAAATGTCCATGGACATTTAATTTCAAGCAAACCCAACCCACAACAAGTACAACTTGTTATACCATCTGGGCTTGCTGTAAGATAAGGTGTTTTGATGGATACTATTAGGCCGGTTTGATAACATGTAAAGTTTTTATGAGTTTTTTTCATTTTCCTGATATATCTTTTTCGAGCATAGGATTCAAACATGTTACCCCATTAAATTGATTTACTTTTAGCATTATTTTTGTAACATAAAATTTGAGCACATAAATTAAATGCTGCCTTTTTGTTTTTCACTTTCAAGTCAACATCAAATTTTGCTATGACAGCATGAGCAATAGATGATGATATTGTTCCAACTCTATATGATTTCCAAAGTAAACTTTTTGATTGAGATATCGTAGCTTCTTTTATAAGTTCTGCTTGAGATGGTGTTATTGAAAACGTCCTTAAAAATTTTTCACATTTAAATGTTATTGATTCATTCTTATAAGAACATTCTATCTGAGCTACATAATGCTCTATGGTAGGTGGTAGCACTTTGTTTTTAGTTGCATTTAAAGGTAATTTTTTCATAAAGTATTCCTACTGTATATTTGGCTTGAGGCAAATTACAGCACATTTTCCATCTGTTGCTTCTGCAACTGCTTCCCAATCTTCCTTTGTAAACTCTGACTGCTTTAAATAATAAGGACGAGGATCATATAAGAATCGACTGAGTTTTAGATTACTATTTTCTAAGCTTGATTTGACTTTTTTAATGGAAATATTTTGAAATATATCTGCCTCATGCAATTTTCTCTTCTGTGTTTTAGTCCCCCACTTTTGTTTTACTGATGTGCATGTTAGATTATCTCCTAATCGCACATGCTCTTCGACAAACAACAACAAAGCAAATATATGTTTGCAGCTTTCTCCATAACCGGCTACACAATTGCATTCTGCAGTGAATATACTTCCGTTTTTATTCAAACATACCCATGATTCATATTCTTCATCATTTATTCTTGTTTGAGGGACTACAGTTCCTTTTAAATAACAAAAATTTACAGCATCTGATAAGCTGTTAAAAGCAACTGAGGTTACATGACCTGAAGAATAAAGAGAATGTCCTTCTTTCAAGGCTTTAGAACTGTGAGTGAGAAAAGAATAAGTTTCAATGTCCAAATAGTCTGTGGTTGGTAAAAATTTTATTACTACTTCTTTTTCTAACACCCAATATCCGATTTCAAAAGGATGGGGAAGCTGGACACCTGATTTTAATTTTAATTTTTGAAGAGATCTGGATTTAATTTCTTCAGTTTCTTGTTGTACAGTTTTATTTAATGGTAATTTAAGTTTATTGGCATAATAAACGTTTTTTAACAATTTTTTTTTTGAAGGATTTTCACCAAGAGGAATACTCCTTGCTTGCAGGAATTCTTTCAGTTTAACAACATTCCAATTTTTAATTTCATCCATAAATGGTTTAATTTTTTCGTTATCAGAGGAAGAATCAGACATTGTTATAGTATTGTAGAAAACAGTAATGTTAAATAATTGTTTTGGTTTGTTTGCGCCTCAGTTATCGCATAATGCTTTATGCGTAAAATTTGAAAAATTAATAGCGAAAAGGCGATTTGAGAAACACAACATGTAAATAAGAAGTCGTAACATGTAATTAAGAAACACAACATGTAATTGAGAAAACGTAAGATATAATTGAGAAATCATAATATGTAATTGAGAAATCGTAACTTGTAATTGAGAACACATAAATTAAAATAGCAAATTCACAGTCTAAGTTTGTAGGTTGTTACAAAAGGTCTTTTTGGACATGAATTTAAGTTATAATCTTAAATTTTGCTTTTGTATGCACAAGTAATAATAATGGAATTGAAAGATCGTTTTGTTATATGCCAATACACTATGACCCGAAAGTCTGTGATTAAGCTAAATCTGTGTCAACATTTATGTCACCAAATTTGTTTACGTCCTGTTCTGGAACAACCAGATTCAAGTTGTTCGATTTGTCGGCATAAAATACACACAACTGAACAAGTTGAAAGGAAACGTTACGTTTTATCTTCTCCAAATGACATGAGAAGAGTTGTTGAATGTGCGGAGCGATTTGAAGATTGGGTGAATCTCGCGCAAACGCTAGGTATCAAATATAAGACAGCATACAATTGGGTTCGCAGCGGAAACTCAAATTTCATCGGAAAAGGAGGTTTTAAACCGAAAAAGTTGACCGAAGATCAAATCGAAGAAACATTAACATGGATTGAAAATGATTGTCAATTAACATTGGTGGCCATCAAAACAAAGATATTAAGACAATTTAACATAAACGTTAGCACAACAACAATAGCAAATTATCTCGAAAACAGATTGTTCTCATTAAAAAAAGTGCACAAGGAGCCTTCTACAATGAACAGTTATGAAAACAAACAAAAAAGAGCTGAATATGTTAGAAACATCAACGAACATATCACAAATGGTCGTCAGATAGTTTGGTTGGATGAAACAAATTTTAACCTTTTTTGTAGAAAAACGCAAGGACACGCGAGACAAGGAAAAAGAGCAATTATGAAAGTACCTGCTTCAAAAGGTTTAAACATACACTTGATCGCAGCTATTTCAACTACAAATGTCGTCATGATAGAAACTCGCAGGGGATCATTTAAAGCAGATTCCTGTAACGAGTGGATGTTGGCTATGTTTCACCAGTAGATTACATCCGGGAATCGTTTGGAGGATTTGATCGTCGTAACAGATAATGCTTCTGTCACGCTCGTTTGCAAAGGGTATTTGATAGTTCACCAGCTCAGTTGTTACGTTTGGGACCTTACAGTCCAATGTTGAACCCGGTGGAAACGATCTGGTCCAAAATTAAAAGTAACGTTAAAAATGCAATTCGCATTCCACCTGTATTAGGTGACGGGATTGCGGAACAGCGCATGCAGTACTTAGAACGAATTGTAATTGAGGCGAAAAATACTATAATGGGAGGAGATTGTGCACGTGCGGTACAACACACAACCACGCACTATGCAACTATTTTAAATATGGAAGACGTACAAGTTGGCGCTTAAATGATCAATGAAGTGATTTTTAGTTATATAATTTTTAATTATAATTTTTAATTGAATTATAAATTTTTCCCTAAAATATTTTTAGTGTTTATTATGTTAAATTCATTTGCCCAAAAATTATAAATTTTTCTCTAAATTTTTCCCTAAAAAATTAAATTTACGCTACAAATCTTGCGTCATTTTTAAGTGCGTCATTTTTAAGTGCGTCATTTTTAACTTACTCCTTTAAAGCGATATCTAAATTAAAATTTTCGTGTTCTCAATTACATCTTTCTATTTTTTAATTACAACTTACATTTTCTCAATTACATGTTACGATTCTTAATTACAATTTTCGTTTTCTAAATTACATCTTATGTTTCTTAATTACAACTTACGTTTTCTCAATTACATCTTATGTTTCTTAATTACAACTTTTGTTTTCTCAATTACATCTTACGATTCTTAATTACAATTTTTGTTTTCTCAATTACATCTTGAAAAGGTGTAGACGTACCCGTAGCCACTGCGTTATTTAAATATTTATAATATGATTAATACATATGTATTACAGCACATGTATATGTGCTGTAGTTTATTGTAAAACTGGATATAAAAAGAGAGAGAATTAAATTGATGTCATTCCTGAAAAGCATTTACTTTTTGGATTTCAGGAAAATAATCCTGACTTATTTAAAAAATGGGTAGCATTTGTCAATCGAAAGTTATGGAAGCCCAGTAAAGAATTCGGCTATTTGTGCTGAACATATTAAAGAAAATATTTAAAAATTGGCAAAAGACTAACATTAGTTTGGGACTTAAATCCCATTCCAACTATTTATTGCTCAACTGAAAAAATACCACCACCAGTATACCAATATAATATTTAATATTATAATAGCAATCCTTGATAAGAAATAATCTTACTTAAATTGTCATAACTTTTTTTGTAATTATTCTTTTTTCATAAAATTTTCACCATTGAGTTACAAATTCAAAACTCTTTCGTACCATATATACTACTTATATAAACAAATGGTTTGAAATTTTTACACACGTACCTACAATATACTGAATTCTAAACGTATATTCACTTGCTCTTGCAATATTTGATCCTTCAACTTCTGCATCTATTGAAAGTTATTTTCAAGATAGGACTGATGCCTCATGCTTTTTAAAGTTGATAAATATAATGTAGACAATAAGTAACAGAAAGCAAATATATAACAACAACTTTTGTATTGGAAATGCAGCTGTTATGGGTGACATGAAACCTTTATTTTTGAGGAAACAAGCCAAATGGATTGAGAATTGGCAATTATCTCAAGTTTCAAACTCTCAAAAGGTTATATTAGGTAAACAAACATCAGAAGCGTGAAGGACCACTTTAAGATGCACAGCTTCACTTATTGATGATTTAATTCAAAAAGAGTATTATTGTTTTTTAGTATCACGCTTGCAAACTGATACATTAAAACTAAGATTTTAAAAGTATCGTCAAATGAGTGGTGGCAGATTTTTAATTGGTTTGCGTGAGACATCTGAGTGCATATAAGCTTTGAAAACTTTACTTAAAGAGTCAGTCAATATTTGGGAGGAAGATGTTAGAAAAAAGAGTTGTAATATATCTTTACTTAAATTATTTAATGATAAACTGCAAGAAATTTTACCAGATTTGAAGAACGCAGTTAGGATTCAGAAAGCTTTGAAGTTGCTCTAGTTATTTCTGGTTATGTTGTTAAAAAGTTTAATAAAAAAAACAAATGTGGTGTTTGCAAAACTTTTCTTTTAGCTGAATCTGGTGAGCTACAATGTCAATATTTAGAAAAACTTTTTTGTGGTGGATTGATTTTACCAGCTATTGATCTTACACATTATGTTGCCAAAGCATTTGCAATATTAGACAATGTATGCAATATGAGGTTTATCTTTAAATTAATAAAGTCATTACAAATTTGAATATTTTATTATTAATAAAGTTATTACAATTTTATATTAATGAACAAAGTACAATATAATATTCTCTTATTCTTAAGTTTTTAGAAACATTATCAGGCAAAGGAAAATATATAATTTTTGAGACTTAAGTTACATTTGTCCAACAAATTTTATATTATATACACACTTCTGTAAACAAAAATCCGTATAAAGATTATAATTTTAATTGCGGTAAGTGTGGCCAATCATGCTATGTAATATAATAATGTATTGAAAAGTTACCCTTCTAATTTTTCGCTGCGAAAAGCAAGATATCCGGCCGTGTAATTATAGTAGGCCATGCTTAAATAGTTTAACATTGATATCTTGAATGAGAAAAACTTTACGTGCCTTTCTGAAAATGCTTAAAGAGTCACATTTGGGCCCTTATTTAAAACTGATGACGTCGTTTTGACATTTTTCCAAAAAATAAAACTAAATAAACATATTTTCGTCAAAAGTTGGATAAACTCTTGAGAAAACCTTATAATAAATAACAAAATCTTAAAAAAACTTACGTGTCTTTCTGAAAGTGCTTAAAGAATCAAATTTAGGACATTATTTGGTACTGATGACGTCACGATAGTCTACTTTTTTTTATCAAACTAAAAAATATATGTTTACGTCAAACGTTAGACAATATCTTGAGAAAACTTTATAATAAATAATACAATTTTCAGAAAAATTTACGAGCAATTCTAATAGTGCTTATAGGGTCAGATTCGGGGCCTTGTTTGGTACTGATGATGTCGCGCTGATAATTTTTTCAAATTTCGCGAAAAAAAAAATTTAGTGAGCAGATTTTTAAATGGGAAAATTTGAATAAGTTGAATAATATTTTTCTTAGGTGTCCTCCCAATCATTTGTGTTTTCACAAGACGAACATTTGCGTATAAGTCAATCCATGCAATCAACCCGTGTTTCACATTTTGACTTTTTACACGAACAGGAACTAACTGAAAATTATCTTCTGGAGCAGGTCTAATGAGCATCAATTTAACCTCAAGTTGATTGCCAATTTCTCGCCATCCATATCCATTGGGTTTTGGAATATAAAGATTTCCCTCCACTGATTGTTTGAAAATTGCTGTTTGATACGAAACTCTCTTTCAATGACATATTAGAGCATTCCTAGTGGGCAGAAACTTTTAAGGTTCCGTAGCTTCTTTCTTGGCAATAAACTAAAGGTATTTTCCTTCATTCGTATTACTGCATTAAAATTTTTATAACTGATATATAAACTTTTTGATTTGGTCAAATTTGGTTAAATCAAAGGTATAAGAGTCCCCAACCTTGGAAAAATTGACTTGTACTCTTCAAACTGTCTCATTAGTTTGAGGAACTTTGACTTAACAGTCCCGTAAAACGTACTTGTATAATTGTCCCCACTAAATGCATGAAGAGCAAGAAGAGCTTTACAACAATCAGTACCTAACTGTGAGGCAATAAGATTTATATCAAAAGTCTGTCTTT